GAAAGAACCTCCCAAGGACTAAACTTGGACTTAAGGACTTTCAAATCAATTAGGCAACGCAGCGCGTTGTTAAACATTGCAAAAAAAAAAAAGCGAAGTGGAATAGTAACGAAGAGAAAGTACGGGAGAACACAAAAGAAAGTTGTTAATTGAAAATGGTGAATGGTCTTGAGTTTTCTTCGATTTCTCCCACTGGGAGTCAAGGAGTCAAGGAACTGACCCCTGACACGACACAGCCAACCGAATTAACACATCAAAATTACATTTTATTACCCTTCGGGGTTCACACACACATACATACATAGTGCAGAGCAAACAAAAGGCTCGTTCCTGCCAGTTGGGCAATAAAAAGCCAAGAAGGTCCTGGCAGGAGCACCTGCGTGTCCGTGAAATGTTTTTGTGCGCCCTGTGCGTGACCGAAGCCGAAGAAGGACCTCCCCAAAGGACAGCCATGACTGGCCCTAATCTGACTAAAGACTGCCAAGGTTCTGATTTGTTATTCGGCGCGGGGTGGGGGGCTATCTAGGACGTGGAATTTATATGTGATTCTGATTAAATATTGCGGTTAATTTGGGAATATTTGATTAGCTTGAAGTTGCAACTCAGGAAGCCCAGGAGACCCAATGCCAGGACACAAAGCCATAGCGACTGAGAAATGCGAGATGTGAAAGTGATGCCGGGAAAGCTCGACAAACTCTTGCCAGGAAAATTGCCAGGTTGTGCAGCGAATTTGTTTGCGTCACCAGAAAATTAGATGGAAAAGGAGCCAGACTATGGACGAAGGACCTTCGGTAGGGTAAGCAGAGCCAAGACGAAGACTGTGACTGGGACGACGACGACGATGGAACCGCAAAAATTCAATTGAAGAAATGCAACAAACGAATTCGATTTCCCAGACAGGCGACCAAGGGGGGCACTTGCTGGCTTGCCATAAAGGGGCGTGCCAGGGAATGGCAGGTAAGGTCAGGTTAGCAGCAGCAACAGCAACAGCAGCAGGAGGAGGGGCAGGAGAAGGATCCGAAGGAGCAGCGTCAATTCAATATTCAAAATGTAATTTAGCGTAATGCACACACTCGCCCACAAACGTCGAAGGAGCAACAGTCAAGTGCTGCAAGATGAGACGCAATTGCGGCGATAAGGTTGCTCTTCGATTGCCCAGACCCTCCAGATAGGAGGATCCTATGGACAAGGATACCCCTCGCCTCCACTGCCCTGGCTTGACTATAAATTTCAGTTGGGAGCGTGAAAATGCAGATAATGTTTTCACCTGAAGGCCACGAAAACACAAACACCCACAAAGCAACCGAAGCAACACCAGCACTACACCAGTCGAGAGGATAACGAATAAAAGCCAAAGGATATAGTGTTGCACTTGGCGAGGAAAACGGATATGGCGCTTTAAACTAAAACGGAAATATTTGTGCAAACCGAATTAAAAAAAATAAAAGAAGGAAAGTGTTTCTGGGGGAAAAGTGCACACAAAATGGGAAACCTGAGGCCGTCACGGTCAGTCGATATCCTTTCAATGATTAATTCCGGGAAAAGGAAATGCTATAGTCGACTGCATAAATAAATAAACAACAATATCTCAGCCTTAACCCTTGAAGTTTGTCTGAGTTTAATCATGGGAATTAATACTTTTGGAAAGGCCTTTCATTTGAGGAACTTTTATTCATTTTGAGATGGAAATTCAGTTTAATAGGAGGGTCTAGTTACAGCTTCATTGAAAAGACAACTTTAAGATGTGTAAATTAAAATGTGTAAATTCAATTCATAGTTTAAATCTTAATATTAATAGAAATATTAAACAAGTAGTGCTATCGTTTTGAACTTCTACATCCTATTTCCAAAGCCATAAAGAAGGGAAATCAACAAATATCAGGGAAAGGGAAAACTAAGAAATAGAGCCATAGAAAACAGAGTCAGAACCAGAAGTATTCTTCAGATACAAGCACACACACACCAACACCACACACAGGCACATAACCAGCGCCGTAAAACCTTTTAGTTTTATTAATTTCAAATCAGAAACCTGACTTCGGGGAAGGCGTAAACCGAAAATACCATAAACATTTTTATGAGTTTCATTATGTTATCCTTTTGCCTTTTGCTGGTGAATTGGGCCATCTTTCTTTGGGCCATTGGGCGAGAGCGGAGTAGGAGCAGCGAGGAGCGGACAGGACACCCATATAAGAAGGTGTCGATGAAATTTACAACAATTACAGACCTTGAACCTGCCATTTCCCAACCAATTCCGGCGCCCAAATTGATCTTGTCGCATAATTCTCGGCAAATTGCCACAGCGATTTGTCTTGTTGCCAATTAGTCGCAGTTCCTGTGGCGGAGGGCCGGGCGGATGGCAGTGGGCAGGATGGCAGGACATTTGCCAGGATGCCACGAGGAGATGCTCCGCCGTTCGCAGTCCGCAGGTCGCAGGCCAATGGCAATTGCTGTTGGCGTTTTTAATTAGAAAATGCACCCACCACCCACTCTGCCTCCGGCCACCCTCTGACCATTATCCTGGCACCCCCACTACCCACTCCCCCTTCGCGCTCCACTCACTTTCAATTCGCCGCGTCTGTTTCGGTTTGGCAAGGTGTAAAAACTAATTACATTAAAACTGCCACGAATTCAATTGGATTGCCTGCAATTGCAATGTGTGTGTGTGTGTGTAGCTGTGTGAGTTATGCATGCATGTGTGTGGCTGTGTGGGTGTATCTGTGTGTGTGGAGGGCACACAAAAATGCGTTGCATACTTTTTTGGGCGCTGGCCTTAATCAATGCCGAATGCCTGCCAATTACATCAGCATCCAGAATGCAGATACTCTGCTTGTAGTCCTTCGATTCTTAAATAATGTTAAGGTTCTTAACAGTGTGTATCTAAGTTATTAATTAAGGAATTTAAGCCTTTTTGTATATATTTCTAGCACTTACTGGATGAAGTCTAAAGATATTTTTTAAACTTTAAAGTTTAAGCCTTGAATTTGTTTAAAAACTAACCATTTAAACCCAGATTTTATATCCTATATAGGGTATTAACCGTCTAGAACTGACTTTCCCAGGCTTATTGTTATTATTAGTGGAGGTTGCTTTGGTTGGGCTTGCCTTCGCATTCAATTGCAATGTCAAGTGATTGGCTTCAACGCGTTGCGGTAACAGGGCCTGCCATGGGTGTAGCCATGGAGGGCTAAGACTGGCAGCCAACTGGCAACTGGAAATGCTAACTGGCTGCTGACTGACTTTGATGGAAGTGCTTTTAATAATGCATCGAGACATTTGAATTGAATTAGCGGGGAAAAGCGATTTTATGGATTTTCCGGGAATCTGGCTCTGGCCCAGCCCGACCCGAGAGTGGGTGGAGTGCGTGAGGGAAATTAAAATGAAAACTGTGTAGGTGTGTAGGTGGGTAGGTGTATGTATGTAGGATGTTTAAATGTTCGGATGTCAAACCACACCGCATTTAATTCAACAAAAGCATTTGCCGATCATGTATCATATAGTATAGCATACGGAGGATATTTATTTATAAAATATATATAATTTATGCGCACTTGTCGCCGCCTGATTTGGCATTCATGGATTCCCGGATCTCTCATTTGTATGCAAATGACGTGAAAATCTAATTACCGCCAAAGACAAAGCACGCAGGACGAAGGACGAAGGACAAGGGACAAAAGACCAAATCTGTTGTCTGTCGCGAATCAAGAAAGAACCGAGAACTGACACCGAGACCGAAACCGAGTGAGTGAAAAAAAAAATTGTTTATGCCTTGTGTTATGTAAGACGATTACATTATGTGCGCGAATCACTCTCACACACACTTACACACACTACCACACACACACACAAATAGATATCCTTTGCCAGGATGGGAGGACGACGACAATTTGTAATGCGCCAATAAGAATTTATATCAACGCCGCAAAAACGACGAGCGATAGACGAAGGACTCGGCGGATTCGGAGGACTGGCAGGACTCGGAGGAGTCGCAGGACTCGACTCGCAGGCTCCTTCTTCTTTCTGATAAGAGACCGTTTCTTTGGCAAGAAACAGCCATGGCACGTAGCATTTCGCTGATTGCCAGCCAGGAGCAGCAGGAGCAGCATCACAGGATGCCACACATACGGACGTAAAGCGGAAAACAAAAAAAAAAATCCAGCCAGGACACACTCGACACAAACAACAACAAAGACACAGGGAGCACGTGGCTGGGAAGCGTTGTAATTCGCCGGATCCGTGGAAAAGTCGCGCCGGAGTCGGCAGCGACGCCAGGACCTCGTGTGTCCTGAGCCACGAACCCGCAAAAGCCGCAACTTCGTTTCTCTGAAGAGGCCGACAGGACTCGTTAGCAGAGTTGGGAGTATAAGAGTTGTCTGCTAAGTGGGAACAGTCTTTCAAAGTATGTTTCTTTTTTTTGGTTATTTAATAATTTCAAGTCCTTTTTCAAAGGATATTTTAGTTTAAACATTAAGGAAGCTCTCTATTATTATTTATTCTTTATTTGAATTTAAAAATATTCAAGTTCATGGATTAATTTTAAATTAATTCAATTTCAATTCAGTTTGAAGCTTTTCTAGCAACTACTAGACTTGAGTTTATAAATAAAATTTAAACCCTTTAAACAAAGCTTTAAAAATACAATTTTAAATACAATTATTTACTTTATTAATAAAAAAATCATAGCTTCTGTTTGAAAAATCTTGATATCAAAGGACTACATCAACAACTTCCCTCTTAGGAACTCGATTCACAAAAATATAAGCCAAGTTTTGTTACCAGTATTCCCGTTCTTAGAGCTTCGTATCCTTGCCGTTCGTGGTCCTGCGTTCGTGGCCTCCCAACCAGTCGTCGTCTGGTGTCGGGGTCCTGGGCCGAAGGTCCTGGCTGGCGACGTCGCTGCTGCTGCGGCGGCTGCTGCTGCTGCGCGCCTGCCGACAGACTCGTTGCATATCCTTTGGCGCTGATGGCACTGTCAGCTCAGTTTCAGTTTCGATTCGGATTCAGGGATAAGCGGACGCGTCCTTTCGTCCTTTGCAGCCGCCAAAGTGCAAGTGCAGCGTCTGATTTCGAAAAAAGCGCGAAACTTTTCAGAGTTTAGAAAAACGTTTTTTCTCCAAAAACCGGTTAGCAATGTCAATTTTTTTCGAGTGTAACAAGTGAAGACTAAACACAGAACTCCAAGGGAAGACCCACTGAAAGAGAAAGCAACCCGTAGATAGATAGAGAGGGAAAGCCAATAGCCAAGAGCCGAAAGACGGAAATGAAGCTTGCACATCTGAGAAAGTAACGGAAATTAAAATTTGCATATGCAAAGCATCGGTGGGCGTGGGGCTCGATGGGGCGTGGCCGGTGGCTGGGCTGCCGGGTTCAAATCTAAAAATGAAAACGAAACTGAAATCAAAATCGAAACCGAAGTCGAAATCGAAACTGAGACTCAAGTGCCAGAAGATCTAAACGCCGAGGAATCCAACCCACCCAGTAGAAAGCCAGTGACTCTAGTGCGACCCGCGGGATATATCTGTCCTGTTCCTGCTCAGATCTAGGTTCAGATCAAGAAGGTTACTATCCAAAAAAAAGAATACAAAAAAAAAAAGAGAAATAAAAGAGGAGAGATGCCGTCGCCAGGACTCACATTTTGCTGCTCGACGGCAGGATTTATCGCTTGCTCAGCAATCGTTCTGCTTTGTAGTTCCGGTAAGTGAAATATGCCCCAAACAAAAAGGATCCCAAAAGGATTCGTCCAGGCCAGGACTAAGGCAAATGTAACGAGCCAAGCCACAGCCACAGCCATAGCCACAGCCATACATTTCATTCGATTCCATTCACTTCCAGTCACTCAATGAAGTCCTTTTCTTTTCACTATTTCTCTATTTTTTATTTTTTTTTTGTTGTTGCTTCGGTTTTTGCTGTTTTTGTTGTTTTGTGTTGTTGTGTGTTACTGCCAAATTTGATTTTGGCCTGGCCAAGACCAGAAACTCTGCTGAATCTGCTCCTGATTCGGAGTCTTCTTCTGCGTATTGTTGACGTTGCATCTTGCAATGAAAACGTCATCGAATGTAAAATGTTTTGCGAGGCGAGGAGTTGAAAAGGATTTCTGCCAGGACACTGCCAGCATCTACACAGCTACAGATACAGCTACAGCTACAGATAGAGATACAAATACAGTAGCAGATGCAGTGACTCTTAGATGTATTTGCAACAAAAACGCACCGACACTTGCCACAAACAGGACGCAGGACAACAAAACTCAGCACTCTAAGGACTCGGGGGTGGTGGTGGGTTAGACAAAAAGCAGACAGTGAGAACACAGCCGAGCCTCGGACAAAGCACGGAGCAGGACAAAAGGACCTGTGTGACGGCAGGATGTGCTCGGACAACTTCAGCTGAGTTAATGCATTTTGTTGCACACACTCGACCTTCCGGACCGAGCCACTCCTGGCGCAAAAAAACGAAATATTTTCCACAAAAATGTCCCCCAAAACCCGCACAGCTTTGGGTCACTGCCTGGCCCTTGACCTTCTGCAGTGTGCCGGGGCGGAAATGTCCTGAAATTAACATGATTAACACAATAATTTGACAAAGTTTTGACGCACAAACCCAACACCCCCAACCCAGATGCAAATTCTCGTCGGAAACGAGATGGAGGCCCCGGAGGAGGAGGCTTTTTGCTCTGGCCTATTTATTTATTATATTTAAATATTATATTGCCCGGTTTTTTTTTTAATATCCAGAATGGCGCATTAGTGATAAAAGCCGCAGACAGATCGACTCTTTGGGGAGAGTTGTCAGGTGGCGCGAGTTGTGAGTTGCGAGAAAAACATCGGCAGGACACGTTGGCGTTTATTATAAAAATTGCAGCATAAACAAGTGCAAATAAAAAACAAACAGGGAGCAACAAAAAAACAGAACAACAACAGTTGCAATGCGGTCAGACACAGCAACAACAACACCGGCAAAAAACATAAATATGAAAATGACAAAAAAGCTAAAAAAACGTCGAAAAAAAAAAGGGGAGTTGGCCACTGAAATTGCATAAACTGCAAAGTGCAAAACTGAAAAAGGATCAAAACCGAAGTGAAATGGCGACAAAACATGACCGGCCATAAATATAAAAGACCAGAAGCGTAGGCCGATTTGGCCAAAAACAAACGACTATCGAATGCTCTTTGAAGGACAAGAAATAAGGGCCAAAAGTGGTTGGATTACGGCAGGACTAGGGGATTAAGCCAATTTCCTAAACTTTAATCTAATCAGGATATTTAGCAAGCTAATCCTTCAGGAAAAGCCATGAAAAAGTGTAACAAAAACCAGAAACTATGCCATTGGAAAACTGCATAAAGGACAATCAACTCTCACCCACACACGCAATCACACACACACCCACAAAAAAGGACTCAATAAGTGTCCGTGTGTGTGTGTGTGGTTTATGATACCATTTAGCCCGAGGGTTGTTTTGACAAATTGTGCAAATTATTGTGTTAAATTTGCCCTTGAGGTGAAAAATCACTTTGACATGGCCAGCCAAAAGGCAACGCATTTTTTGTCCCCCACCCCCCACCATCACTCCTTGGTCCTTTAGGACTTTCCGGCTTTCGCAGCACTTCGTGGCTGATTGTGCTTTTGTCTGTCATATTATAAACGCCAATACATATGTCAGCCGGCGGCCATCGGGACAAGCACGCCTCGATTTCTTCAAGATTCTTCCCTTTTCCTAGCCTGGACAGCAGAAAGCCACTTTAAGTGGCCAGAAACAAGATGTTTTGGGGCTTAAATTCAGGTAGTTTTGGGAGGAAACCCAAGAAAACCAAGCTAAGGGGTTTCTCTGGTTATTGGAGGTTTATAAAAAAGGTCTTCCATCACTCATTGGGTTCTTTATTATTTAAGTTTCAGTTTTGTCTGATTTATTTATTATGTATGTTCTTTTATGATCTTTTAAGTTAATCCTTTTCATATTTATTTTTTTAAGAACTACTTTCCTTTTTCTCATATATCCATTTACAATTCCTTTGCTCCACCACTCCGACCGCGAGTGCAGACTACAGTACTTACCACTTTTTAAGGCCAATGCCACTAATTGAGCCGGCGTTGAGATACCCGTGGATAAAGTTGCCAAAAGCTGGAAAAAGTTTTCAAAAAACGATTTCCCATGCAGCGTTGACGTGACTCGCATTAGCTTTCCCACCAAAAACCCAAAAAAAAAAAAAATAGAACCGGAAAGTGCATATGTATGACTGTGTGTGTGTGTGTGTAAGAGTAGTGTGTGTAGTGCCACGCCCCCCTTTTCGCCCCGTGCGGAGGAAAATGTACTGTTGCTTATTATCGAAATTGTATATGCCAGGCAGCGGCGGCCACAACTTCCTTTGAGCCTTCTGCTCGCCTTCTTCCAACCACTTTGGAGAGTCCTTTTTCGTCCTTTTTTGTTGGTTCTTGTTGTAGTTGTTGGCCAGTGCCTGCACCGCTGTGGCAGGTAAAAGTTTGTTGCCACCAACAAATTAAGATAGTTGCAGCGGCAAATGTCTAGACGGTTTTTAGCCAAATTATGGTTTTCAAGCGTTCTATTGGCCCTGCCTTGGCCCCAAAACGACTTTCGACTCGTGATCCTTCCTGAACATGAGCTTCGACTTCTACTTTGCAGGCAATTATCCTTGGAATGCAGAGAGAGAAATGTCTATACGTGTTTGAGGATATTTTTTAAAAGTGATTTCTTTTTTTTTGGGGTCTCCTTTGAGGGGTTTTGCTATCCGACCCTCGTCCCCGGACAGATCCTTATCCGATTGAAATTGCTTTTCAATCAACATGGCGGAGAGTCCTTAAACGCACTGCCACAGCATGCGAAAAAATAACAAATCAAACGGAGGCACAAACATCAACTTTGCTGTTAACTCATCGCGTGAGTTGAACGTTTATTTCACTCCACTTTCCACTTTGTTCATCAGCATTTCGCTTTTATTTTGTATTTTTTGTGATTATTTTCCTTTTGCCTTTTGCTGACCCATTTTTTAATTTACTCTCCCGCCCTGACCTCTGACCCCTGACCCCCGAACCACTGACCACTGACCCCTACTGCAATGATGAAATGGGAAATTTTTATATATTTTGGCGCCCAACAGAGGCGCAAGATACTCGAAAAAAGTGGCAAGAAATTGAAAGAAGAATGTGCGGTTTTGGCCAAAGTTGTTGGCAACTATTTAGAAGAATCATCTAATAGCGGGTCCAACAATTCCTCGACATTAAATGGGGCTTACTGGGGTGGGAAAGCACACATCCTTTAGAACTGCTTCGAAAGCAGACACTTTCCGGCATTTCTTCCACCAAGCTATCTGGCCAGCTAATCAGTTTAAAGCCGAAAATGAACTCCTCGGAGAGTAGGAGTATATTAAGCAATAGGAGCCAATCGATCCTTATCCTTGCAAGGACGAAATAGTGGGCGGGGCAGAGTTATGCTCGTCAATCTTCGGGGCTGGCAAGGCGACAGTTTGATAAACTGAAGCAGCGTTTCAGATACTAATCTGCGCTTCACACAGGACGTTTTAACAGGAAGCAATAAATTCAGCCAGGACATGCCAGGATATGCGTACACACACACACACGCACTTGCAGATGTGTGTGTGTGCTATCCGCGCCCTTGTCTGGAAATTTTAATTAAAAGCGATGACATAGCGAGTAATTCTATATCAAAATGTCGCCTATTAATTTTAAGGACATTTCCTTTATTGATTCATTGTCAATATAATATTGAGCCCATAATTTACACATAAAAGGGCTATCCAGCCTGCCAGCCAGCCAGCCAGCCACCCACCTCCCGACCCAGCCATTGTCTTAAAGGATATAGAAGGTCCTTTGTTTGGTCCTTGTTTAATTCATTTAGACATTGAAATGTTGCCGGGGCGTGTTTGTGCCTTTTTGATGGGCCCCTGGCACGACAGTCCAGGACATTGCGTGCATGTGCATATGTGTGTGTGTGTGTGTGGGTGCTTAAGAGAGGAGGTTCCCGTACTCGAGGACATTTTCGTCCTTCTTCCTTGCGATGGCAGGGTTTGATGGCCAAACATTCCATCTTTACGCCATTTTCCGGGCACGCAACGCAACCGCAACCGGGGACAGGAAAAGGCAAACAAAACATCAGGCTTTCCATTCACTCATCCTGATTTTCGGCCAGATCCTGGCCTTAACCGTTAGCTTTACCGTTATAATTGCCAGCCAACGAGACACGAAACAAGAAACACGAAACACGATTTCCATGCAAATGGAAATCCCAAAATCCGAATACCCGAAATCCGAGTTAATTTAGCCATCTAAACGCGCCTGTTGTCGATAAGGAGACACGGCACTTAATAGTCCTTAATATCCTTTACCGATAAGCACGATACGGAGTGAATGGCTGGCTGGCAATAAAAGTGTCAGGATATTAATGGCTTAAATAAATTCCATACATTCGTTTATAATTTGCACATTAAATGACTGGCAGGCTCTGCATTTCACAGAACTGGAATGAAAGTCAAAGTAATTGCGTTTTTGGGGTCTTCCCGAAGCCATTCCAATTGTTTTGGCCAAAGGAGGACGCACTTAATTAAACTGCAGTCGTCCTGGTGCAGTGCAGTCCTGCCGATTGTCAGTTCGTCAGTACGTCAGTACCTGACCGCATTGGTTATCGAGGAGATCCAGCAATCTAATCGGCAAATCCATAAAATATTTATCCGGCCTGGCCCAGTCAGATATTTCTGGCCAACTGCAGTTGATAAACGGGCTCCGAGACAAAGGCCTAATGCCTCGGATGCCGGAGAGACCAAGGATATTTATAAATATGGGCAGGACGAGGAGACGAATGTGGCGAGGGAGTCCAAAATAGAGACAATAACCCAGTATCCAGATTCCATTCGAATAGTCCGGACCGAAAGCCATAAACTTTGGCCCCAAAATGCTCGAATTTCGACTCTATATTGTGGCGACAGACTGACTGTCTTTTGCAGCCCCCTCCCCGCCTCCTCCCCCCCTTTGGGGGAATAAAAGTGTTATAACAGTAAATTAAGTTGCATAAAAAGGCCAGACTCTCATTGGCAAGATATCGGGTGACAAGTCCGTGGGATAAAAAGTAGTTAGGGCCAGTAGTTGTTCCCTCCGCTTAAGAGGCCAATTTAATAGCATACTTTACAGCGCTAAGCAGACAACAACGGAGGCACAAACACACCACGGGCCACAAGCGACAAACAAACAAACAAACAAACAAATAGACCAAGAGACAAACAGACAAACAAAATGAAGTGACGTCGCCGAGTCGCGACTGGTTCACTGAAACGGACGTTCGTTGTTATGCCAAGAAAACCAAAAAATAACCAAGCCGAAAGGAATCCTGCAGAGACAAAGGGCAACGGGGGCTGCCAAGTAGTGAAGATGTAGAATCCTGGATGCACTTTCTCTTTTTTGGGAGCTAGGAGGGTAAAGCTCATAGATTCCATCAGATGTATAATACTAGAAGATGCCCGGTACTTTTAATATTTTGAGAACTCTTTTATAAACTTTAAAGAAGAAAAACATGTGGAATGAATATAGGCTTGACTAAAAGGTAAAATAGGTCAGACTATGTGATATCGGGTACTCATACTGATCATTAGAACAGATCTCTATCCTATTGTATATTGAAGACTATATAAGACTCGATACCCATCATAAGCCCTCCAATCCACCTTCAGACCTTCAGACCTGTCTTTATAAGAACTCAAGCTGAATCTTGAAGGAGATGTACTTTATTCTTCCAAAGGGTATTACAACAGGAAGCGGGCAACGGCTCCAGCGACTCCCTTTTGAACTTCCGCTCTGGCTTGCAGCAATTTCTTTGGGCTTTATTGCCGGGTCCGGGTGCACCCCCTCTCGTCCTTTGAATCGCCCTCCCTCCTGCTGCCGAAAAAAGCGCCGGAACGACGCATATAGCATAAATTTTGAATACGCTCAAAGGGGGTTGGTGTCTTTTTTTCTGGGTCGAGGGGCGAAAGGGGCGTCTGGGCAGGGGTGGTGGAAAAATAGCGAAAATTGTCTGTCGCTTGATAAAGCGGAAGCAGAACTTGCCCATAAACGAAATGTGGCAACTGAGTGTAAACTTTATTGGCGCCAGACTGCCTGGCGACATCGCTGTTGTCATGCTCCCGCCCGCCGCTAGCCGCTTCCCGAGTCCGTCGTCGTCCTTTTGGCTTCGCATCATCCTGGGATAGCCCGGACTCTGGCTTTTTTCTGCCACGGTCCTGGACGACATTGACTCATGCGACACGCAGGATAAGCGCACAGCCAAAGGACCAAAAGCAGCAAAAGGACCAAAGGACCGATGGCGTCTCGATGGCTGGCAACTAAAGTCATCGTTTACCCCCCAAGAAGAGCTGCTTGTTTGTTTTGTCTGACTCCGCCGGTGACTCTGGGTCTGCATTACAAAAAAATATGGATCCAGGATGTGGCAGGACGTTGCGAAAGGAGAGGGGGGGATGGGGGAGGGTGGCAAGTGCTACATTAGTTGATTTCATGCGCTGTTTACATTGGCAGCGAATTATGCGCATTGAAAAGCCAAGATTTGGTTGCCAACGGGTGGTCGTTGCCCTCCATCGCCAGCCCTTTAGTCCCGGGCAGGACTCTGGCATATGCACAAAAACAGGATCCGCCAGGATCTCGCTGACTAACTCACAATTTCCTTGGGGATTTTTGGGGGCTTATGTCTAGGAGTCTAGACTTTGGAGTTAAAAACGCTTTTCACCAATTCCACTTTTCGTTTCAGAGGTCCTGTCCAGCTGGGAGGAGTGGTGGACGTACGACGGCATATCCGGTAAGTATCCGACTAATTTTCAATTAAAGCCCAGCCCCTTAAAGCCCCTTAATGAAGCAAACAGCCGAAATGCAATAACACACTGTTTAGGGAATTAAATTCCCATTTTTTGCGCCCCAGACTTTAATCAATTTTCTTTGTGAGCGACCGAATGTTTAATTCCCCATATGAATAAATTGATAAAACTGGGCGGCTGTGGCTGATTTAATTACATTTCAAATCGTTTGCCAACAAAAACGCAGCCACCGCCACTGCCACTGCCACTGCCGCTAAAAGCAAATAGACAAAAGTGTTGCATGTTGCTGGCTGTTGTTGCAGTTGTAATTGTTGCTTGTCACTGTCTGCATTTTGTTACTACTAGTAGGGGTGGCACTGCCCCTTCCTGGGCTGCAGTCCTATTGCAGTTTTATTTATGCAACCAGCCAGACAAAAAAGAATAGGAAAACAAGCAACATGCAACAGCAACAGAGGCAGCAACAGCCACACCACCAATAGCAACAGCAACACCAGCAAATGAATGCAAAAATACAAAATGAACAGTGCCCGCCAACGCGACAACTGCCAGGGGGAGGTGAAAGGTCAAGGGGGGCGTGGTTGGGCGGGCAGTTGGGGCAGGGGCAGGGGCAGGTCACTACTGCATCATGGAGCAGTTTTTAAACTTTGGCATTTATTGCCTCTGCCGCTGTGCCGCTGCGCTCAGCCGGCGTGTGTCGCGTGTCATCAAAGCACCCACACAAACCGACCGACGGAAAACCCACGGAAAAACACAACCGAATTGCAGAGAACGGTATTCTCGTATCCTGGCAGACATCAGGACACATAACTCTCGCGAGTCGCTCAGCTAAGGGATCAGACTTGGAGCTTTAGGACTATCAGACTTTCTTTTAATGAATAATAGCTATTTCAGACAGTTATTAAGGATAAAGACTTTTAAACTACTCAATTTTAAATATCCTTATAGCTCTATAGGGAATCCTTGTAGTCGTCCTTCCATCTGTCAGCCAACAATTTGAGCCATTTATTTTAGCCCTATTTATTTTCGCCACCAGCCGTGGTGCATATGGAAAAATATTAAATTTTGTATGAGGCACAAAGGCCTCGGTGGTGGTCAGCCTTTTTGGAAACAGTGTAGCATTGTTTTGAAAACTTTCGACGATTTTTAGTCCTGTCGCCTGGTACACACTCGAAAAAACAGGAGGGCAGATGGTGGGATGGAGTGGGAGCAGCATCCACCCCCCATCCAGTGCATTTAATTGCCATTTAAAAGAGGGTTGGGGTTTTTCGTGGTGAAACTCTGGGAGCTGGGAAGCTTATGAAATTTCATTTGGCATTTGAATTGTCATCGATGTTGCTCCTGTTCCTGCTCCTGCTCCGGCTATTCCTGCCTCTGTATGGAGCTCCGGCTGTTTGCATTGGGCGAAGACACGTTTTCCATTTGGTCGATTGACAGAACAGTGAACCGAGCTGGGGACAATAACTGATGCATATAGCATATCGCATGTATGCATCTGTTTTTGGGGAATACTGAGGCTCATCCTTTCCTACCCTCTTGCTGGCGCATTCTTTTTGGCAGGACCGAGCTTCTGGGGCCTTATCAATCCGCAGTGGAATATGTGCAACAAAGGCCGCCGCCAGTCACCCATCGATGTGGTGCCGGACAAACTGCTCTTCGATCCCTATCTGCGTCCTTTGCACATCGACAAGCACAAGGTGTGTATACATTATATTCCTCACGTCCACCTACCCACCCACACAGCGGTATTTGCGTCCTGTTTCCAGGTATCTGGGACTCTGCACAACACCGGGCAGTCCCTGGTCTTCCGGGTGGACAAGGACACCAAGCAGCACGTGAACATATCCGGTGGACCGCTGGCCTACCGCTACCAGTTCGAGGAAATCTACATACACTACGGCACGGAGAATGGTCGCGGATCGGAGCATTTTATCCAGGGCTACAGTTTCCCAGGAGAGGTACGATCTCCGACTGTGTTGTAGGAGTGCCACTTGCTAATCCTGCATCCCATTTCAGATCCAAATCTATGGCTTCAACAAGGAGCTCTACCACAACATGTCCGAGGCCCAGCACAAGTCCCAGGGCATCGTGGGCCTCTCCCTGATGGTGCAGATCGGCGAGACGCCCAACCCGGAGCTGCGAATCATCACCAGCACCTTCAACAAGGTCCTCTACCGAGGTGAGTATCCTTCCGAGACCCGAACATTATTGCCTTCATTTCCGTTCACGCAAAATGCTACCGGAAGCCGTTGCAATGTTAATACTTGCCACGCCGCGTTTGCAAGTTTCGCCTTTGTTGCGTTTGTTTTTGGCCAGTTCTTCTTTTTTGCCAGCTCCTTTTGCCCTCCGTAGTGCCAGTGACTTTTTTATGATGTCATTGCAACGGCAAACACGGCAACAACAACTGCAGCTGGGCCATAATTATGTCCTGGCGAGCCATAAAAAATGACTCGTGAAGGGAGGCAGCGGGCCAGGAACCGAGACTGACCGAGCCGGCACAAAGTGACGAAAATGAAACCTCGAATTACACTAAACCGACACTTAATAATTTCCCCTATCCCCCCTACCCAGTGCCCATGATCCGACGCGGTCTCGTTGGCATTTCTTGACCAGTTTAATAGCCTTTTTACAGGTCGTACCACTTTATGGGAGCCCAGCCCCAGGTCTTAATTTGTAAAATGCCAGGGCAGAGACCGGCAGAAGCCAGGCACGGGCCAAGAAATATGCCAGGCCACTGGCCAACAACAATTGGGCAGAGAAACAGTTTACAATTCCGGGTTTAAGGGCCGGAATTCAACGAACTACCGATGCTCTTTCTCGGTCTCCACTTTGCAACTCTGGGGGTCGCATTGAAATATATTCCCAGACATTCATTTCCTTCAAGACATCCGTAAGATATTCCCACCAATCAACTGATTGATGTGAGAGAGAGGGTATTCCCATTCCTGCCACCCAGTCATCCCACATTGCCCATCCATCCTGCCACAGGGCCGTGGAAGCCGCGAGTTGCTTCATTTCCGGCTGGCAAAATGATTTGTATGAAGAAAGCCGAACGCTGGCGTTAAAGTGGTCAGATCGGGTCAAGGGGAGGGCGAAAGCGAAGGAGGAAGGCGTCTCAGGACTCCAGGTCGTGTCAGAAGTCGATGGACTGAATTATTCATTAGACTCCGCCCGCCATTCGCTCCCGCCCGTCCTGGACGTGTTTTCATATTTTTTCATCCACAATATGCGCATAAATAGCTTGCGCCACCCACCGCACACCGCCCACCACTTGCACCTTGAACTTTGCATTTGAACATGCTTTATGCACTCGCCTGCTTCCTGACTTTACTTTTCTGTACTCTTTTTCCCACTCCTCGAACGAAGGCTTCTCCACGCCCATCCGGCACATATCCGTGAGGTCCCTGCTGCCCAACACGGATCACTACATCACCTACGAGGGCTCCACCACGCATCCCGGCTGCTGGGAGAGCACCGTCTGGATAATAGTTAATAAGCCGATCTATATCACCAAACAGGAGGTGAGTAACTTCTACTTTAAGGAAAGATATTTTACATATGGGGCGTATACTTAATATTTGGCATGCCGTCGCATTTGGCGTATAAGTTACATTATCTTTGAGACAAAAACCTGTAGGCTTGTAACTCAAATAAATATTTAAACAAACTCCAATCGAATGAAATTAATAAGTAATATGCTCTTCCCGATATGCAAATACACTGTAACTTTATGAACATCGATTCGCCTGTCAGCCGAAAACCGCAAATAATTAAATGAATTTTGTGTGTTTTTCAATTGCAATTAGAGAGGCTTGTAGTTCCTGGTTTATTTATGTTCGATTCAGCATCGACTCTATATATATTTACATGCTTTTTTATGGCAGTCCTCTGGCGTGGCAGTACTCCATGCTCTTTTTTATTGGACGCTGATTGGAAGTACAATGAAATCGCATAAATGCAATTATAAAATTGCTCATCAATTTGGGCACTGGTCGGATCGCGGTGGAAATGCGGTCAATATTCCGCTCTGTGCATAATTAAAAAACAATATTTGGTTAGTTTAATCAATTTGCATAAATGCATATCAAACATGTGTAATGTGCGGCAAGGCGGCGGGGTCAAAGTGCACTGCCAGCCATGTGTAAACAGCCCGACAGTTGCACCACAAACTCCATCAAAGTGGTGTAGTTTTGGCGTTCTTTTTCTAAACTCCCATACACTCTGAAAAATGATAATTTCCTTGCAGTTGTACCAACTCCGACGACTGATGCAAGGCTCCGAGAGTACACCCAAAGCTCCACTAGGTAATAATGCGCGACCTGTGCAAAATCTACATCATAGAACCGTAAGAACGAACATAGACTTTAAGCGGAATAAGGTAAGTTTATGCTTAACAATATCTCTTGAATATTTCTCCCATTTCGTATCCCATCTATTATCCTTTCAAAGAATCAATATGCTTGCCCCTCGATGTACAAGGACATGTACTATCGGGCGAATCGATGGTCTCCCGACACGGGTCTCTTGATACGTTGACGACCGGAAGGCGTGGAGAAAGGAGCAAACCAGTTATTATTAATGCTATTATTACAATTATTATTATTGTGTGTGGTAAATAATGTTACAGCAATTACAACTATAATGACAAAAACTGAAACTGCAACAGAAACAACTGCAACAGTAACTGCAATTGCAACATCAACTGAGAGGCCGGCAACGAAACATTTTGCATTTTTTATGTCGCATTCAATTTGTATATTCATGTTAACAACACGAGCTCAGGAGTCCTTTGGCTTGCCACACGGCATTCCTACTGCAACACGGCAATTTATATTATTTATTTCATTATTATAAATAATAAAAGAACAGCAACCAGAGCAGCAGCAACATGAACAGCAAAATAGTGAACACAAAATTTAGGCAACTGATCAGCAAAAAAAATACGATATGAGGAGAAAAATTAAAATTTATATTCATAAATAAATAAACTCCATGCCAAAAAAAAAAAAAACAAAACATGCAAATGCTAAATTAGCAAAATGAATAAATACAAAAAGCAAACAGAATAGAAATAGAATGGAGGGGCATTGATTTTTTTTGTTTCCCCAAAATCGCACTCCAAAATATTAAAGTTTAAAGATCCAAGGACTTGGATGTAATCCGAGCTCATTTAAATATTTCCAGTTCGATGCTGTCCCGCAAAACTATAAATACACACTCTAATTTGTATTTATTTTGGCAAAGCTACGAGAGTCCTTTGTTATATGCCTGCTACCGAAATTAATTCACTAAAAAACTCAGTAAAAACTCAGTAAACAAAAAACAAACAAAAAATTAAGGGAATTTCCGTAAACTGGATGGGTGGACAATAACTAACGAAACAAAAACAAAACTAAATGAAACGAAGGGAATAGGAGAAAATAATACGAGAGGCAGCAACAGAAATTAACAGAAAATAAATATTCATATAAATATACAAAAGTAAAGGTATCTATATTATAAAGTATACACAAACGGGCAAATATATATACAACTCTCTCTATATATGGAAAATATATACATATATATATATATCGATCAGGAAGGAAGGAGGGCAGAACTCAAGCAATGCAGCCAGGAAGTTGACAACACAAGACACTATATAGTACATGTGGTACTACTTACTAGATGGTAGTACGACATGTACGACCCACAGACACAGCATAGTATATAGGACATACCCATAACCTATATCCAGTCTCGGTGCAAGGAGTATACACAAGCGAACGGGCTAAAAAACACGTAATCGAAACCTAAAGCTAGAAACAAAGTATTAGTCTTAGCTCTAAATAATCCCAGTTGCTAACTAAACAATACCAAATAAATATAGTGTGAGAGTCTGTTTTTTTTTTTTATGTGAAGTGTATAAACAAGTATTACGGCTAATGTAGAGTTTAAGTTACTGAATAGCATTTAGCAATTAGCACCACCTGAGTTTGTATCATATACACTACGAGAGATACTATATAGTAATACCGTGTAATAACACACAAAATGTATCCGATCCGTTCAATTCCCCCACACGTTTGCTGCAATTTGTGCAATTATGTACTTGGATTTCGTTGGGCCAACTGACTAATCTCGCGAGGACTACCTATATAGTTGGATCCCACCACCATTTTTTGTGTAGAGCATTGACTATTTGTAAAGAATTAAAAATAAAACTGAACAAAAAAAACAAATACCCGAAAGCGGAAAGCGGAAACGGAAATGCAATTCCTCAAGTTGGAAACACTCTGCTACGACTGTAAGTTACTATTGTGTTGCCATACAAATCGCATTCAAGGAGCAGTAACAAAATTATACAACTCTATATACTATTATATAGACATATATAATAACATGGAATTATAAATGGGCCTAGACAAGGTTTAGCAGCAATTACAGAAACAGAAACGGACAAAATTGAAGAATGCAAGAATCTAATAAATGAAAAGCGAAAGTATTATATTAAAAAAAAAGTTATTAACTCTTTTCTTTGGGCGGGAGGAGGGGGGAAATAAGCCCATCTGTCAATATCCGGCTTTGGGTAATCGGAGCTACAAGGACTAGAAATGGAATTCCAAATCATTCAAAGGATTTCAAAGAAGGAAGTGAAGGAACACCAGCCTTTACTTAAGAGATTTTTTTATTTTTTCCTATCCAATCCTTTCTCCCCGTGTACTTTCCTGTAATTACTCAATTTAAGCCATATCCGTTGAGTTAGTTTTCGGTAGAGTGGCCCCAATTGGAATGTCCTTGGACAGGACACAACAATAAAATTTATAGAAGCGAATGCGTAACGCAGTCAAGTGCTTAGAAGGGCGGCAGCAACAAAAACACATTTTATTTCCGTTTGCTGCCACAATGATGAGTCACACACACTACTGCAAAACACACACACACACCCTCACACTCACAGGACACCCATACACAGGACACAGTAGGAATAGCCTGTTTAAATATGCAATTTCAATTTCCGAAAAACACAAAACGCGTGCAACACGCAGAAGGATTCGCAGCTCAGGATTCCGATTGGGGCAAAGTGGGGGCTGGTTGGAGGAGGAGGATTGGCCAAGGGGCCAAGGGGCAGGGATTCGAAGGATGTAAAATTTGATGTTGAACGTTGCCAGGCAATCGGAAATGGTGGATTTTGAACGGTGGTCTGGGCCCTGCCGCATGTTTAATTGGACGCAATTGAAACTAAACTAGCGTAAAATAGAAACAAAAACACAAATGCTCGTTCCAAACGAAATTGTTGCTCTCGGCCATATGGAAGCGATTCGATTCGGTTCTCTTCGGATGCGGATTCGCAATCGCATTCACATTCACATTCACATTCACATAAAAATTAATTACAAATTAATTTACCATAAATTGGAATTGCATGGGCGCTTGTGGGCCTTGGCATGCGCCCCAGAGCTTGTGGCCAGCAAACTATGACGGCAGTCCCTTCATTAACTAAACTATTTGCTTAAAAACTATATTAATTAATTAAGAATATAGCAAATAGTTTTTCAAGATTTATTCAAAGCCCGTGAGTCCACTAGTTTTGGCTTAAAAACTCGCACTATATTCCACTCCGAGTGTAATGCATTTTTATGCGACCATTGTTGATGAGTGGGCGGTTCGGCGGTGCGGTGTGGCAAAGGGGCGTGGTCGAATTAAGGACCTCAACCGCATTTTACGAAATGCGGTCAGAAGGACTAATTATGCTAAATGCCAAAACCGCAACAACCAGTTAGCCATGTTCCGTCCTCGGCCCCCAGCCCTTCCCCTGTTTTTTTTTTTTTGTCCGAAAAACTAACTTATTTTGGATGCGATATACCCAAAAATTGGGGGAAATATTTCAATTAAACCCATATACTCGTATGCGCAGTTGCCATGAATTATGATTTTGGGCCACAACGTGAATGCAGTCCACCCCACCGACCCACTCGGCCTCCAAAAGTTCTCGGCCCGGCCATGTGAATGGTAAATAACAGCAAAAGTTTTAATTAAATTTTAAACACAAGTTAATTTCTGTGCATTTTCACGCGCCCAAAGTCCCAATTTTATATTTAACTTTAGGTGCTCTCCGCACTGTCCATTATTTACCCGCCACGACCCGTGTCAGCTCCGAAAATGAGTTATAAATATTTAGTTGTAATTCATGTTTAGTTTCCATTGTTTTCGGGCTGCAGAAAAACAGGAAGAAAAACGCTGGAAAAATATGCAAAAAGAGGCGAAAATTTTAATATTCATGAAAGGCGGCGGCGATGCGAGCGCTTCAAATTTTAATTAGAAATAAATAATAAATAAACAGAGCAACAATTCCAGCACTTGTTGCTTATTCCAAATCCCAGCTAATCGAAACTGTCATCGAGGTGAAGGCTGGGCAGCTGGCCTGGCTACAGAGGAGGTTTCCACGCCTATGAGTAATGGTCAGTCCCCTTTAGTCCATATAAAGTCTAGCTCACCCCGAGGAGGCTTTGAATTGTATCCTTAATTCTATGAGCACCGGGTATATCATACACTAATCCTCACAAAGCCTTAAGCACTAGAGTAATATCAGTACCGGGTATCACGTACAAATCCTTGCCTTTTTGTCTTTCCTGTTCAATAACTTTAAAATGGCCTCTCCTCTCACTCCCCAGCCATAATTCCCAGCACATTCAGGTGATTTGCAAGTAATCATGTTGTACATTTCCAAGCCACACCCGGCATATTGATGATGACTTCTGTTCCTGCTCCTTGTCCCGCTCCCCGTCCTGCTCGTTTTCCAATTCCGATTCCGATTTCGATTCTGATTGTGATTCCTATTCCTGGCTGAGAAATAAACGTGCGTAATCAAGCCCCGACCGTCTATATCTTCCTGAAAGTCTGAATGTCTGGGCCGCACAACAAAAGCCAATGGAGGAGCACATGTGCGGCCTGCCCCGGCACCTCCTCCAGCAGCTTGAATCCTTCGTCCTGGTGTAATATTTGATTTTGATTGAAGTGCAGTCGGGCATGGGCGGCCAAGGAAAAATCGCACGAGACCCTGTCGGCTGCCAGGCTGCTTTACTGCCTTGCAGCCTTACTGCCTGTTGCCTATTCAGAAAGAGTCCTGTCAGTCCAGTGTCCTGAGCCCAAGAAACGCATAATGAGTGCAAGGAAAGCCGGATGGTGCAAAAAAAAAAATGCATTATAATGCCGTCTGTCGGTTGGTAGAACGTGAACGAACGCCTCCGTCGTCCTTCGTCCTGCGACTCAATTTGAGGCCAACGTGACTAACGGAAACACCAGGATTCCAGGGAAATCACACATATTGTGGCGAGCCAATTGGTTATCCACCTTTTCTCCTTTAAATACTTAAAAATTAAGAATATTTTTAAGATTTAAAATATATATAAAAGAAGAAATCAGGAGAACCGTGACAAGCTGCCTGGAATCCCCTTGAGCTCCTCTCAGCCGGACTAAGCCAGCTCAGACTTGGATTCGGCCGCAGCACATCCTTCGTCCTGCAGGACCTCGCCCTCCTTTTTTTCACACCCAGCCATTTTATGGCCTGCATAAATCAGAGATGCCCTGTGGTGGGCGTGGCAATTTATACATGATGACGTTATTACTCGGCTGCCCCCGAAAACTATATACATGCACATCCTGGCACATCCTGGTATATATATATGTACGAATACTACATAGTTTAGGCCTTGGTAATTGCCGGCCCTGGGTGAGGGAAGCACATGAAAATTTAAAACGCAACAAATGAAAGAAAATGTTGCCTTTCTTTGGCACTCTCTGGATTCATTCGTTTTTTTTTTCTCTCGCCAACACATTTCCAAGTGGCTTTCTGGTTTTGACTGCGAATTAAGGCTAGGAGGACGGGGCCAGGGAGGTGGACCAGAAACAGGACCTCTCTG